TATATATATACGTTGTGCAACTTTCCCGTTTCAAGCAATGCCCTTACATTGTATTTGTTTCTGTTCTAAACATAAAGTTGAAAGACCTTCCGGTGGAGGACTTCTTTTCATCCAGGCAGCTTGTAAGTATATGCGTCTTTGCATCATTGAATAATTCAAGGATTCCGCTGCTTTTAGGTCGATCGTTTACAGAGGGGATCGAAGCCTTAATTTCAAGTATAATAAACTGGAGTCATAATCTGTATCTGGACAGGTGTACTTTGTACCAATTTAGAGATTAGAGATACATAACAATATTTAACTTTGTTTTTACCTTCCCCAGAAAAGTTATCTTTTCGGTGGGGTTCGTGTGCTTGTGTGTGTGTTTGTGTGTGTGTGTGTGTGTGTGTGTGTGTGTGTGTGTGTGTGTGTGTGTGTGTGTGTGTGTGTGTGTGTGTGTGTGTGTGTGTGTGTGTGTACCGGCTATACAGATACAGATACATGTACTAACCCATCATTCCCACAGGGGTCTCTGATGAAGACAGGTGCCATCATGGGCGGATCCAATCTGATCCGCATCATCGCAGATGGCCGCTGGAGTAGTTTTGAAAGCATCAGACAGACATTCCCTTGCGACGAAGACCCGAAAGTGAGAAACTCTGTTGAGCTTACAACAACAACAACACCACCACTACACCTACTACTACATACTTTTACTACTACATCTACTACTACTACTACTACTGCTACTACTACTACTACATACTATTACTACTACATCTACTACTACTGCTACTACTACTACTACTACTACATACTATTACTACTACATCTACTATTACTACTAATACTACTACTACTACTACTACTACTACTACTGCTACTACTACTACATACTATTACTACTACATCTACTATTACTACTACTACTACTACTACTACTACTGCTACTACTACTACTACATACTATTACTACTACATCTACTATTACTACTACTACTACTACTACTACTGGTACTACTACTACTACTACTGCTACTACTACTACTACCACCACTACACTACTTCTATTACCACTTCTACTACTAACGTTACTACTACTACTACTACTACTACTACTACTACTGCTGCTGCCTACTACTACTTTTGTTTTTGTTGTTGTTACTCAAACGAATATCTTTGGTTGGAATGTAATGATTCTTATTTGACTTGTGATTTGATTTTTTGCATACACAATAGATTAAAACATGTTTATATGTTTATCGGTTCTAAGAAAAATATCTTTATTTTCCCGAAGGGAATGGAAGGCTGGAAAAAAGATGAACATTTTGGAGCACAACGTCTGAAAGGCGTGAACCCCACCTCGATTCGCCTGTGCTCAGCCATCCCAAGTGGGTAAGTAACCTCGGGCACTTTGCACAGCTCTTCCACTAGTCTAGCCCAGTTACTGTATGGAAACCTTTGCCTGATACAGTTTATTTAGTAACTCGATAATAGTGTAGGTAACTCTGAAACAGTCTAGGTAACTCTTAGCCCAACAGCGTTGTTACACTATAAAAAGACTGTAACTGTATGAAACATCAACCTTTCCAAGAGTGTAACCACCTTTGTTGATACAACCATGAAAGTTCATCTGTGTTGGTAGTTACATGTTTAGAGTTAAAACTTTAGATCCAACACAAAAAGTTTTCTCACCTAGAGCTTTCGACCAGTCACTCTGGTCTTCCGCAGTAGACTGACCCAGTGAGGCCTGTCACGTGGCTTCTTTGAAGTGCGACGTCTACACTGGGTCAAAGGTATCGGGTAGACGATGTCGACCCCCGTCGCCGTCGCGGTTCAGTGAAGGGTGGTAGGCCATAATGTAAAAAGCCTCCTTCACCTGTGTTGATCTTGCACAGATTTGGCGTGACGTCAGACATGGTGAAGCCTTCCCTCGAAGGCCTGGCCCTCGATGCAGCGATGGCGGCGAAGCGCGTGTACATCGTGGATCATTCGACCATGCCGACAACCAACAAGAACGGCAGACCTGTGAGTACATGAACATCTCTCTTATATTATGAAAATTATGAAGATGTTCTCCAACTCAAGACACGAAAACCAGAAATTTTCGACTGAATCACTCAGTCATAAAGCTGGTGAAGACTGAGTGATTCGGTCGAAAATTTCTGTATTTTTTTTCGTGTCTTGAGTTGGAGAACAGTTTAATTTTCATTATTCATTTTACCAAGTCAGATGAACTTTCATGCTAGTATAAGAATATCTCTTATATCCTTGTTCACTAATAAATAAATACATAAACTCCTGGCACTTTTGATCAATTGCTCACGTCACGTATAAGTAAAGTCTCGTGTGAATAAGGTCACCTGTTTGTAACCGTAACTCTGGCGAGATCACGTTGTGAAGTGATTGGGCATTAATTATCCTGGTGAAGGCGACAGTGGTCGCTGAAAATTTGATCTCTGTACAATTGTGTGTTCGAATAAAGTTCAACGTTTTACTAACAAATAAATAAGTTAATCATACATCTGACCCCCCAGATGTGCGCTCCCTATGGATTGTTCTTCGTTAATGGGAAGCAGGACCTGGTGCCTGTCGCCATCCAGCTGTTTCCTAACGATGCTAACAGCACGGAGAAACACCCGGTAGGTTTGATAGAATTAAGATCTTATTTACTCTCACTTTTTATGTCAATGAATCCTTCTACAAGGGGACTTTATTTTCGTAACTTGGTTTACATGTGAAATCAGGTAACAAGTTTATATGTGAAATCAGGACAAATGTGAGTTTTGTCATAATGAAGTCCAATTTGTTGATAACGGTACACCTGTAGGTGTTCCTGCCACCAAAGGATGGAGCCCCCGCCGGCCCCAAGAACACGTGGCTCATGGCCAAGATGTGGTTCAACTGCGCAGATGCAAACTACCACGAGGCCGTTCCTCACTTGGGTAAGCCTCGGCAGAACGTACTGCGCCTTCGGCAGGTCTCTTCTAAGGTCCTATTCGCGTATATCAAGGTTGACATTCCGTCTGTAGTTTCCAAAGGTAGTGTCAGTTATGATGCAACGGTGACCAAACATTCAGCGAAAGCTGTGAAAAATCGGGGATTTGCGCAGGCGCAGAACGCACTGTCGACGAAGTGCTCTGTATATCCGATTTGTCCTTTTTAGTAAAAGGTAAAACAAAAAAATCGCTGAAAATTCCACCGTTCCCAGTTTCTTTTGAGTTTTTATTCATTTGAGGGAAGTTATGCACCACTGGCCCACGGTTGTTTTGTGTGCATGTTGGAGAACAGTTTCCATTGTCAACGCTGTTTTCTGTGGTTCCTCACAGGATTTACTCATCTTTTGATTGAGGCATGCGCACTGGCAGCCTATCAAAACCTCGCCTCATCCCACCCGATTCTGCGTCTCATGGAGCCACACTTCATCTACCTTTTCCAGATCAACAGGTTTATTTATTTATTCATTTATTATTTATTGATCTTAAAACCGGTTGGGTGGTACCTTCAGTTTAAGACAACTGATTTCCAATGTAGACAATCAAGTAATTAAATATGAACAAAGAGTACAAGTAGTCAATCATTGGAAACAGGACATGTCCACCAAAACATAAAAGTCAAAATCATAAGGCATAATCACAGTCCGTGTCATTCCAGTCGAAAGATAAGGTAAGGTTATAAATATTTCAATTGCGTTGTATTGTACATTGGATATATCGTTTCTTGCCCTTTATCGTTTATGCCAATGATATTCTATTTGCCATGACGATACACTAAGAGGTTGAGCACCAGGCCTTTTAAGGTTTGAGCCACTCACACCGGTAAGGTCCCCTACTCTTTTCGAAAGGTGTGGTGGGTTCTTTAATGTGCGTGGGGTGTGGCTCTCCCCAAACACGGAACCTCCATTTAACGTCCTATCCGAGGGACGTCCCTAACCGAAGCTAGGTACTTATTACAGTGAAGTGAGGAAAGTCGTGCAAAGTGCCTTTCCCAAGGGCACAAGATCGGTGACAAGGTGGGGTTCGAACCCGGGACCTCTTGGTTCCGGGCCGAACACGCTAACGCTATGCCACACGACCCCATGTTAACAGCGCTGCCTTTTCTCTGCAGCTTGGCACGTCTCGTACTGATCAATGAAGGCGGCGGCCTGGATCGTGTCACACAGATCGGGAGCCAGGGCAGCTTTGAACTTATCAAAGAAAAGTAAGAAATCTACTATAAATCCTTAATCATAACGCAAAAGGGTACATGCCAACAATATTAATAAATAAATAAAACAGCAATCCCTGGCATTGTAATTGAACTCGTCAACTGTGTTTTTCTTTGAGAATCAACTTCATGATTTTCTGCATCTCGAAGCTATTTTGGTTTATGTTCCCCACAGACTGAAGACCTGGCGACTCGACATCGATGGAACACTTCCAAAGGATCTGGAAACCCGAGGGGTGAGAAATTTCTTTAACTTAACAAGACAAAGGTATCCACCAATTCCAGTCACATATTCATATAAATGTAGTCGTTTTGATGACTGTTTATGAATTTAGAAGTTTGTCCACGAAAATCGCCTACAGAAGACCACACCATAATACCTAAGACAATAGCCTTGAACTGGAGATCTGTTGAGGAAAGGAAAAGAGGCAGACCAAAAATACTTGGAAAAGAACTGTGGCAGACGTCATGGCGTCCATAGGACTATTATGACGTTAACTAAAGATAACACAAACGTATGTAATGAAACACGCAATTCAGCCTCCGGGCTGTGTAAGGTTTTTAAATCAATAAACCAGTAAATCACCATCACCATCATAGACCCAGATGGAAGGAAAATTCGTGGCCTTTATCTCATTAGGAATGAAGAAGAGAAGCTAGTAATCAAGTATGAACTAGAAAGGTAACATTTGCAAAGCAAATGCATAATGTTTACCTTCGCATATGGTCTGCTCTGTTAATTCCTACGCATACATATTCATATATATGATCAGACAAGAGTCTAAATCCCTCCTGCTATAAAATTGCAACATTATGTAACACAACACCAGTTACCATGGTGACAGACGTCAACAAATCAGGTCATTGGCCAGGTCAGCGGTCAGTGTTTGGAGAAGAATAGGAAGAGGAAATTGAGCAAAAACAACATGTTTTCCTTCGGTAAACATAATGATAACATCATGAACAGATTCTGGTCATCAGAAGTGTTTAACCTACCCTTGTGCTCTCGTCAGGTGGACGACCAAGCAGCCCTGCCGAAGTACTACTACCGTGACGACGCCCTACGCTTGTACAATGCCATCCACAAATACGTCACGGACGTTGTGGGGATTTTCTATGGTAATTAGCAGATATTGTTGCAACTAGAAACGTGATATTTTCAAGTACATAATATTACATTCACGTGGTCCGGCTTACTGAAAAAAAAGTTAGTATATGGTGACCAGACCCCTCCAACTCTGTGCTGCCACTTGCTACATAATACTATCCAACACCACAGGGTGTCTGCTACAGCACCAGTTACCTTGGTGGCAGGCATTGGTCCAGGTCATTGACCTTATTTGTTTAGAATGGTAGAAGAAGAAACAGAGCAAAGTGAAGCTATATTATGACCATAACTATCATTCATTATAGGGATTTAAAAAAGGCTTTTTGAGACGTTACCACAATCTCAAATTTGTCGCTAAAAGAGATCCAAAAACATTATCTGCTAAGATCACAAAACCCTCTTCTGAAAAACGTGGGACTATTCACTTGCCACTGCCTCTTAAGAAGCCCCTTTTAGCCGTATCATGACTATGTGGCCACTTGGAGCCAGCCATCGGGCATAAAGTTTGAATAAAGTGTTGTGTACATTTTCAACTGTCTACAGTCCTATGGCAGCTTACACATAGCTTACAAAGTTATTTGCGTGAACAGAAAATCATGATAGACTGCATTTCTTCCCAGATGACGCCTCGAAGATAACAGGTGACCCGGAGATCCAGGCATGGGCGAGTGCTCTTGTTTCCATGGGCATTAAGGTAACTTTTACAGTTGATTGTAGTTGATTGTAGTTTGTACAGTCTTTTGAGTAGAAGTTTTAATACTTTTGAACACCCACGAATACTGGTACCTTTAAGTACTACGGTCTATGTCACTCTGTACCTAACTTTGTGTTCTCAAAGGTTTAAATTTGTAACGCTTGTGTAATTCAGCCACTTGGCTGCCAATGCAATGTTAATAATGTTTACCTTCGCATATGGTAAGCTCTGTTAATTCTTATACAGACACATTCATATATATGGTCAGACAGGAGTCTTAATCCCTCCTGCTATAAAATTGCAACATTATGTAACACAACACCAGTTACCATGGTGACACACGTCAACAAATCAGGTCATTGGCCATGTCAGAGGTCAGTGTTTGGAGAAGAGGAGGAAGAGGAAACTCAGCAAAAACAATACGTTTTCCTTCGGTAAACATAAATATTATTCTATATTTCGTGCCCCCCTCCCCCTCTCCCCAGGGTGTTCCCGGTGGCGGGAAGTTTTCCAGCTTGGATCAGCTGATCCAGACGGTGACGTGCGTCATCTTCACCAGCAGCGCGCAGCACGCGGCAGTCAACTTCATGCAGTGGGACCAGTACGGCTTCGTGCCCAACATGCCGCTCTGGCTGGAGGGAAATCCACCCAAAAAGAAGGTCAGTACTTAGAGTTACAACTTTTGATCCAACACAAAGAAGTTCTCTCACCTAGAGCTTTAGCAACCAGTCACTCCGGTCTTCCTCAGTAGACTGACCCAGTGAAGTTTGTCACGTGGCTTTTTTTAAGTGTGACGTCAACACTGGGTCAAAGGTATCTTGTAGACGATGTCGGCCCCCGTCGCGGTTCAGTGAAGGGTGGTGGGCCCTGATGTATATAGCCTCCTTCACCTCTCTCAGGAAATACGAGACATGCAACTGCTGCAAACCCTCGGCGGTATAGCGTGTCAGAAGTGACGACAACCTCACCCAGCACAACCAGCTGTGAAGCCATGTAACTGGTCAACTACACTAATAATAATCAATGAGAAATATGATCATGAATAGCCATCTACGCTTTGTATGATTTCACCTCTTCCTCTCAGAAGAAGAAGGTCTGCTGTGCTCTTATGCAGAGCTTAGGGTGGTGCCCATCTCCATTTCGTAGCCCTTGGGCCACACAGTTGTGCAATGCACTACAGCAGGGGGCTAGTCCGCTGGTAGTACTGTGTGTTTGACCTTCCCACACCCTTTCTCGTATGTGCTGAGTGCTAAGCAGAGAAAGAAGTGTGTACCATTTTTAAAGTCTTTGGTACGACCCGGCCGGGGTTTGAACTCACGACCTCCCGGTTACAAAGCGAGCACTCTACCAATTGAGCTATTGCACCTGAATTATATTCCATTTAAAATTTCTTTTATGCATATTTAATCGTTGATAATTCTATTGCATAGGACGCTCTGACTGAGGAAGACCTCCTGGATGCGCTTCCAGGGAAGAGGAAGACAGTTGAGCTCAACCTTCTGACTGACGTTCTGAGTCAGCGGTCCACAAATCCCCTTGGAGAATTCTTGGTCCCGTACTTACAGGGCCCGCGTGAACTGGAGGCTGTTGGAAGGTATGCCCCCCAAAAAAACAGTTACTCAAACAACTGGACACGATTTTGGAAACGGTCAGACGTTTCAGCTAGTATCCACTACCTTTCGTAAGTGACTGAGAGACCAGAGGAGAAATGCAGGTTTATAAGCACAAACTATTGATTGATATGCAAATAAAGTGAAGACAATTTTATGAAATCCAAAAGGGAACAAAAGTCAGACAAGTCAAGACAAGATAATGCAAAAATTAGTCAAAAAGCTCCTGTTATGCAGAACAGGAGCTTAAGTGTTGTCTGTCCTCGGGGCTGGGAGTGCCAAATCCCAAGTGCCTTCCCTGACGCAGCCAGTTTCATTCTGCGGATCTTATGATCGCAGTGACTGGCAGTAAACCTTGGCCCAAGTGCTCATTAGCGAGTTTTTTTCTCCAACCCAGGAAATGTTGAGGCACATTCTAAACATCCGCGTGTAGCATATATTAAGTTTCTTTCTTAAAAGACTTAGTAGGGTCCATGTTTCATCACCGTATAACAAAATGGATTTGACAGTGGCGATGAAAAGAAAAATGATATTGCATGGGAAACTTAACTGCTTCAAGTTGTTTCATAGAGGCAGACCTTCTAATTCTACAGTTTCACCAAAATGTCTTTTCTTCTATATTCCTCAGGTTCAGGGATAGTTTGGCTGCTATCGCCAAGGACATCAAGAGTGAAGACAAGAATCAGCGTCACAACTCCTATGACTACCTGAATCCAGAGAACATTCCAAACGCCATCAGCATCTAGAAAACACCTTTCTGGATGAGAGGCATAAGTTCCAAAACTATGCCATTTCTTTAAAAATCATGTTCAACCAACTTGGATTTTAGAACCTAAGTGCTCGAATGCATAATTCAATGATGATGAGTGGAGGGTCTGCATGGGGGTTGGTGATGGCAATGACGATAGTAGATTCAGAAACAGCTGCAGTGCTTAACGGTTAATTGATGCGTATTCCAATAAGCACTACGTTAGATTTGCATGTAGACCCTCCTGTGTGTTTTTTTTGTGCATTTGGTTTGGAGGGTTGAGTTGTTGTTTGTGAAATTGCTTAATGGGTGGCATACTTGTACCAGTGGGTAATATGACTTTATCAGTGTGTGTGTGTGTGTGTGTTTGTGTTAATGCGTTGATACAAATGATAAGGTCTTTGCTGCCCACTAGCGACTTCATTCAGAATTGCAGTTCTCTTTACCTTTCATTGTGAACCTGGCATTGTTATGATTTTTATTTTTTGTTTAAGATCAGAAAACAATGAGTTATTGTATTATATTGTGTTTACATTCAGTAACATAGTTTATTGTATAGTCGTGTGAGAAAATATTGTTTGTGACAAACGTAATTCAGGGAAAGTAAATCTGTGCCCTTCCCTGCCAACGTGTGTTTGATGGCCAGAGAGAAACAAAGAAGAGATTCAATTTAATTTTGAGTGCCTTGTGAGTTTGTAAAGGACATCGTTGACATCAAATAAAAAGTATTTTCGTAATTCTCTGTGGACATTTTGATTGACACTATTAATGAGAAGTTTATTGCAAATCCATGCCCGAAGGTTAATTGCAAGTTACAAACATAAAAGAACATTGAAACAGAGTGTAAATTTTAATAACTTCAACATGTACATAATGAAATCTAATTGTCTAAAACTATTGCTATGTCTAAAACTATGTCTGAAGGGTTTGACTTCTCTTCTGTAAACCATGGAAGAGGTATAATGTCCCGCCTTTTCTAAAATTTGTGGGTTTTGGTGTGGAAGTTAGAAATAGAATTGTTTTTTGTTTGTCTGTAAGTTTTGGGAAATTGGGATAAATTGTAGAGGTTTGAATAGTCAACTCATTTCGAGCATTATTATGGAATGAACAGTTTGAGATAAAGTGTATTTCGACGTCCACAGCCTTTACACTACAATATTTACAAATTCTTTTACATACAGGTTATCTTCTATATCAGCCTCTCTCTCTCTATCTCTAATAGTCTGTGCATCAAAGCAGTCTTTTAAATTGAAGCTGATCATGATGGTTTACTTACAAACAACTTCAAAATTTACAAACTACTACAAAATTTACAACTTGCTAACTGACTTGTTGTTTGTTCAACAGGCATTTGACTGAGAACAAAGGTTTTCTGTAACGCCAGCCGCGACCTCAGTAGCTTTCTCACCTTCTTCCTTTCTGGAAGATATTTTATCCCAAACAGGAGACACTGAAAGCTGCATGATTGTAAAAACTAACAGTAACGCGCAGCAACAACCCATAAACATGTACAAGGTCGAGCGGGGGCCTACGTGTTCGAACAAGTAGCCCGCTGCAGAGCTCGACGCGGTGCCTCCAATAGCGGCGCCGATCAGGCACAGAGCAAACACGACGGGGGACGCCTCTAAGTTCTGATTGGCCCAGGCGTTCCCGCCGGGCACGATGGGCGCCACGACCAGCCCGCACACGCACGTGAGGACCCAGAACGCCGGTCGGTTATTGGCGCCCCAGAAGGCCATGGCCACGGACGCGGCGCACAGGCACGCGATTTCCACCGACAGCATGACGGAGACAGGCACCCAGGCGGCGATTGCGGTGGACAGCCAGCGCATGACGGCGATGCAGACCCAGAAGCTGGAGTAGACGACGTTCGCCTCGGCCTTGCCGTACATCCCGCTCTCCACAAGGTAAGACACCTGCAACAGACGCACGCTAGTTGGAGGAGTGGGATAGTGTAACAGACCTGACCTATATGCCGTACATCCCGCTCTCTACCAGGTACGACACCTGAAACAGACGTGAAACGTGACGCACGCTAGTTGGAGGAGGGGGATAGTGTAGCGTACATCCCGCTCTCCACAAGGTAAGACACCTGGAACAGACATGAAACGTGACGTACGCTCGTTATAAGAGGGGGATAGTGTGACGGACATATCAATGACGTACGCTGGATGGAGGGGGGATAGTGTAGCAGACGTGAAACGTGACGTACGCTAGTTGGAAGAGGGGGATAGTGTAACCGCCATGACGTACGCTAATTGGAGAACGTACGCTGATTGCAAGGGGGATAGTGTAACAAACAAGAAACATGAGTTGGAGGAGGGGGATAGTGTAGCAGACATGTCCCTTGACGTACGCTGGTTGCAGGGGGAAAGTGTACGTACCATGTACTGTGTGAGGCTGTTCATCTGTGCCTGCACCAGGATGTAGAACAGCAGCAGGAGGAACAGCAGCAGCGCAGCTTTCCCGCCGCGACCCTTCAGGAACCGTCCAGGGGAGAAGAAGGCGGAGAGGGACTGCGGCGTCTCCCGGACCTTCCGGAGTTTTCCGGATCCGGAGTCTCCACAGTACTGGAAGTAGAAGAACAGAACGAACATGGCGAACTGGACGGCGGCCACGCCCGCGTACGGCCACTGGATGTGTGACGTCAGACGGGCCTCGTCCACTGTGAGCGGAGGGGGTGTCGCCTGGTCCACTCTGAACGGAGGGGGGACGGAGTGGTCCATTCTGAGCGCAGGGGAGGCCGTGTTGTTGTTGAGCGCCGTGCGGTCAGGAGACACGAAGGGGATGACGATCAGCTGGATAGCGAAGGAGCCGAGTGGATAGCCTGCCTGGGTGGCGTGGAGAGGTACGGACGCCCGGTCCCCCCATAGCTGGGTACACAGGACTGTCACGGCTGGGGACAAACAAATAAAGAAATAAAAATAAACAAACGTCGGTGAAGGTTAGACGTCCATGCAATAAGACCCCCCCCCAAAAAAAAAAGATTAAAAAAGAAACAGAGTTTAAAAGGAAACAAAAGTTAGACAAGTAAAGGCAAGGTTTATGCAAATTAGTCAACTTGCTCCTGTTGTTTCAGGACAGGTTGTTTCAGAACAGGAGCTTATGTGCTTGGGGCTTGACCCCCATTGTACTTACTCGAACTGTGCACACTATACTACTCACCTGTATCCGTGAACCCATGGCCCCAGCCTGCGATGTGTTGCAGAATGACCAGTCCCCACAGACTTGTCGCGTAGGGGGTCCCTAATGTCCCTACCCCCGCTAGGAAAAAAGACGACCCCAGCACCAGGAACGCGTACTGGGGCAGGAGGTCCATGAAGAGACCCCCCGCGACGGCGGAGAGGAAGTAGCCCACGGTGTGTCCCGCGAGAACTCGCGAGATTTCCTCGTAACCGACCCCGAGCCGGTCCTTCAGGTCGATCAGTGTTGGGTCCACGATTCGGAAATACAAACCCTGAAACATTGGCAGAAAAGAGACGATTTTTCTATATACTCTTTTTCTATATACTTTAATTTTCATCTCAAAACAAGGCTCATACATTTATTTACTTTCATTTTACCTCAAAACAAGGCTCATACAAGCCATGTTTAAGTTTGTGCCCATTTGGGAAGCATTCACAAGGTTCAAGCTTGATCTGGATTTGTTGCATCCAGCAACACGCCATGTTCAACGTGACTGAATGCCGGGCCTTTGCACTGCACCCCGGCATGTGCCAAAGTCTGTAAATACTATAATATATGCGCAAGGAAGGTTGACATAACTTACCTGGTTACGTATTAACTAGTCCGTACCGCGGTCACGTTGTCACAGTGTGGTTTGGCTTACAGTCAGCAACACACGACTCTTGGATAATTGCAGAGACTATCCAGAACCTTGCATGTTGCTAACCCATATCAAACCCATTCAGGCATAGAACTAGATAGACACGGTTCTACAAACTAGATAGGCACAGTTCTAGATACATTCAGGCATAGAACTAGATAAGCACAGTTCTGGATACAATAGAGACTATCCAGAACCGTGCCTGATCCTAACCCTAACCCATTCAGGCATAGAACTAGATATATAGACACGGTTCTGGGTACAATAGAGACTATCCAGAAACGTGGCTGATCCTAACCCTAACCCATTTAGGCATAGAGCTAGATATACCAACGGTTCTATATACAATAGAGACTATCCAGAACCGTGTCTGATTCTAACCCTAACCCATTCAGGCATAGAACTAGACAGACACGGTTCTTGGTAACAACAAACCCAACACATTGTTTTTGCTCTGTATTAAAATCACGCCATGTTCAACATGACTGAGTGCCGGGCCTTTGCACCTCGACAGGTGCCAAAGTCTGTTAATGCTGTAATATATGCGCAAGCAAGGTTGACATGACTTACCTGGTTACGTATTAACTAGCCCGTACTGCGGTCACGTTGCGACAGTGTGGTTTGGCTTACAGTCAGCAACTCGGACTCTTGGATAATTGCAGAGACTATCCAGAACCTTGTATGATCCTAACCCTAACCCATTCAGGCATAGAACTAGACAGGCACAGTTCTAGATATAATAGAGACTATCCAGAACCGTGCCTGATCCTAACCCTAACCCATTCAGGCACAGAACTAGATAGGCACGGTTCTGGATACAATAGAGACTATCCAGAACCGTACCTGATCCTAACCCTAACCCATTCAGGCACAGAACTAGATATACCAACGGTTCTATATACAATAGAGACTATCCAGAACCGTGCCTGATTCTAACCCTAACCCATTCAGACACAGAACTAGAAAGACACAGTTCTTAGTATCAACAAACCCAACACATTGTTTTTACCCTGTATTAAAAATCACGCCATGTTCAACGTGACTGAATATCGGGCCTTTGCACTCTTTACTTTCGCTGTTTACCTGGTTAATACATGCACATGGGAGGTTGCATCATACCTGACCACGTAGTACTGTTACACAACAGTCAATACTATAATAATATATGCACAAGGAAGGTTGACATAACCCTCAACTTTCGCTGATAAACCGGTTACGTATTAACTAGTCCGTACCGGTCACGCGTTGACAGTGTGGTTTGGTTTACAGTCAGCAATATATTGGATTCTTGGCTTCTATCATGTAAGCCGTGCTCCATATATATCATATAGCACATTTATGAAAAAGTTAATTAGTGTTAGTCTCGATACATGGAACTTATATATAAGCATTACTGTAGACGTTACAATGACTGGACTGGACAATTTGTACTTTTGTTATTATCATTCTTTATCAATGTTATTGGTTAGTTACTGTTTTTTCTTTATTATTGCTGCCATTATCATTATTTATTGTATCCCTATGTTACTGTTTGCATGTGACTGTTGTGTTTTGTTGTGTAAAACAGGACCCCATTGAAAAGAAGTGCTATCACTTAATGGGCCACCCTGTATAAAGATGACAGAAATAAATACAGTAGATATCAGCTAGATATGTAGTACCTCTGAAGAGCTTGCCATACATACATTGTACTTGTTACGATTGTTGTGCAATAAGGTTTGAACTTATCTTAAAAGTTCATCTGTGTTGGTAGAAGTCATTATGCAGCAAGTTTAAACTGTAATTTCCAACAAAAGAAATTGGACAAATTTCCGAAGGTCCTTTTTCCTTGACAAAGACTGGAGTTGTACAGTCGAAAATTTGGGTGAGTCCAATTTCTTGTGTTGGAAATTACAGTTTAAACTTGCTGCATGAAGTTTGAACTTGACTTTGACCTACCATAGAGAACATGGCGAGCACCAGAGCGGCCGTACGGATGACCCGTCGGTCAGTCACCTTTGCCCCCAGCGATGCCGCCTTCTCGGCGACTCTGGCGAGCGTAAGACTCGGGCCAAACGTCTTGACGGCGTCTTGAGACACCGTCTTGGCTCCTTCCTTCTCGGTGAAGGACACCACGAGTGCCGGTCGACTGCCTTGAGACATGGTCTTGCCTCCTTGGAGCGTCTTCGGATAGAAAGCTGCTGAGAATTAAGAGAAACGCCAAAAAACAGTTACTCAAGCAACTGGATATGATTGTGGAAACAGTCAGACGTTTCAGGTAGCACTACCTTTCGTCAGTGACACTGGACTGGAGAGTTGTCAGAAAAGCACGAAGTATAATTGATTGATATACAAATCAATGAAGAGACATTTTTTGAAAGTCCAAAAGAAAACAAAAGTTAGGCAAAGATGATGTAATCTTTAAAAGGTCCTGGTCAAAAGAGTGATCTGGGACTAACTCCCAAATATCCGGCTCAGCATGAACATTGTTCCCTGAATGGACTCGTATTCGGGCCTGCAAAGACTTTGTTCATAGCGTCGTTTCCGATCGTATAATGGCAATCGTAAGGCATATGTGAACGGTTTCTACGTACCAAGATAGGCAAACTTTCCTGCTTAACAAAATTCCTACCGTCAGTGAAGGTTAGACATCCAGGTAATAACATACGCCAAAAAACAGTTACTCAAGCAACTGGATATGATTTGGGAAACGGTCAGACGTTTCAGGTAGCATCCACTACCTTTCGTCAGTGACACTAAGAGACTTGCAGGAGAAAAGCAGGTTTATAACTACGAACTATTGACTGATTCCTACCCACCAGTGGAGACTAGGCGCAGTAGTCCTTCCCTTGTGAGATCTGATTTGCTGACTGTAAGCTAAACCACACTGCCGCAACGTGACCGGTACGGACTAGTTAATACGTAACCAGTTAACCAGCGAAAGTAAGCGGCATGCGGCGCCCCACGTGCATGGTCTAACGGTATTTATATGGCAAGAAAATTTAAATCGTGGTGGCCTTGTTGTACTCAGAACCGTGCCTATCTAGTTCTCGTCCTGAATGGGTTAGGGTTAGGGTCAGGCACGGTTCTGGATAGTCTCTATTGTACCCAGAACTGTGCCTGAATGGGTTAGGGTTAGGATCAGGCACGGTTCTGGATGGTCTCTATTGTACCCAGAACTGTGCCTATCTAGTTCTATGCCTGAATGGGTTAAGGTTAGGATCAGGCACGGTTCTGGATAGTCTCTATTGTACCCAGAACTGTGCCTGTCTAGTTCTATGCCTGACTGGGTTAGGGTTAGGATCAGGCACGGTTCGGGATTATCTCCGCGTATCTAAGAATTCGTGTTACTGACTGTAAGACCACACTGTCGACGCGTGATCGGCGCCGACTAGTTAATACGTAACCAGTTAATCAGCGAAAGTTAAGGGTTATGTCAACCTCCCATGTGCATATATTACAGTATTTACAGACTTTGACACATGCCGAGGTGCAGTGCAAAGGCCCGGCATTCAGTCACGTTGAACATGGCGTGATATTTAGGCCACACCGCCTTAATTTTATGGATGACATCCGCGCGCGCATTGATTTTCACCTGTTCTCTCTCTCAAAAAAAAAGATAACGTTCTCTGAGGCTCTGGCCTGGCTCTAGGCCTGGGTAGTCCATGGTAGTTAGCGACAATACGGAGCCGGTGGTAATTCTGGAGGACGGCACCCAGGCTACCGAAGCCCCACGACTCATAAATTCCACAAAACGCCAGCATGTGCCGGCTTGTCGTATACGTCGCTCAGTACTGTGGCAAATTCACAATACCAGCTTTGTATTCTTGTGGTTTAGTAGCATTTTGTTTTGGACCGGAATTGTTTTTATTCGCCCGCGCGCACTAGTTTGGGGACACTTCTGGATAGTCTCCTCGTATCCAAGACAATAACTTAAACGTATATTCGCCGGGCCACACTGTCGACGCGTGACCGGCGCGGTTAATACATTACCAGTTTATCGGCAACAGAAAAGGGTTATAAGTTATGTCAACCTTCCATGTGCATATATTATCGTATTGCCTAACTGTTGTGTAACAGTATTACGTGCTCAGGTGTGATGCAACGGTTCCACACTCACGTGTACGCGGCGTGTATTTGCGGATATTTGCACGGTCGCTGTTGCTAGGACGGGACGTTAAGAGGGGGCCCGCAAGCCCTTTTCCGTAGAGCGTAATCGGCCGTTTTAATTCTACGTAGAGTGTAGACGGACCGCTCTAATTCAACGTAGAGCGTAATTGGCGCATTTTGCGTAGAGCGTATTCGCCGTTTTAATTCTACGTAATGCGTTGTGGCCACTTGGAATTTATCGTAAAGCGTAATCGAGAGGTTTCCGAATTCAGCGTAGAGCGTTGTCGGGACCCCCCCCCTCCCCCCTTGCAGGCCCTCTTTAGTCGCGGTCCACTGTTCATTGTGCTTGTCAAAAAGAGCTAGGGGAATTTTTTTATATTCCAACATTTCATGACTAGACATTGTGACAGCACATTCAAGTTATATCAACTTATTTTATGCCGCCACCAACGCAGAGGACGAATACAGGACTAGACAATACTCAAGCAGGTCTTGGAAAGTGCCTTTCCCAACGGCACATGATCGGTGGCTTGTCAGGACTCAGTATCTATCAAGCAGACTTACTCGCTTGTGTGGAGTATGATGTACTTCAATGTTAACAACCATGATTCATACAAGGTATTGTTGTCAATATTTGAATTCATCGATCCAAAGTGTTAAGCCTGTCGTTGTGGACATGATTCTTACTTATTAATGACCCTACTATGAATTATTTATGTTGTTATAAAAGAGCATCACAATTCACCCTTGTACTTCACAGCTACCAGTCATACTGTTGTTGATACAAATAAACCAATAAACTTAACTAAGTAAACTAAGGTTAAGCCTAACTTTAGATCCCGTATTTGATGACGAGTTCCATAAGATTTTTGGGTAATAACACAGGTGGCCCTTCGCTTGTGTGTTTTGTGGTTCAATTCTCCTTACTAGCTTTATATTCCAATGGTTTAACAGCAGATTTTTTGCTGGCACATGTTGCAGGATTTCGACCTTTCGCCTTTCGCCACCAGAGGATGTCATTTAAGCCAGTTTGGCTCATAAATCCAGATGAGTGGGGGACCCGGAGGGTGTTTGGGCGGACTGGTCTGACCGGTCCTACCTCCCCCCCTCCTCACACACACACCAGCCTGGCAGCGGAGAAAGTGAAGAGGTAAAAGTGCCCAGGTGTCCTTGAAAACAAGGTTTTGTCACCTGGTGTCCAGGAGTGCCAACAGGTAAGTCATACTGTTTATTAATAATAAACCTTGTGAACACAGATCGAATTCAGAGAAAGCTTGGACGGAATAGTCTTAGGTATCGTTTGAACCTTCGTTGTTGAAAAGACAACGACGACCAGGTGTCTCATGTAACAAGGTTTTGTCACCTGTGCAGGTGTACCTAAAGGAAAGTCATACGGTTTAATATGAAATCTTGTGAACAAAGATCATCTTGAGAAAACGTAAAGGTCTTAAGAGTAATTCTTACCGACGTTAAAGAAAAGACAACAACCAGGTGCGAACCGAACAGGTAAAACAATAGGTAACACAACACCTGACGAGCAGACTGATGTCCCGGGTTCGAGTCCTGACATGCCACAGATCTTGTGCCCTTGGGAAAGGCACTTTACACGACTTTCCCCACTAAACTCAAGTGAAAATGAGTATTGTCTGTCCAGTATTCGTTTCTATGTGCGGGACACAACACCAGCAACAGCTGCCTCTGTTCCGTGTGTATTGCACTGTTGCAATTTCAATAAATTAAATCAGACTCATGCTTGTTACCTGGCCATTGAATACAGGTGTATTCACCTTTTCTGTTACCCTTGTAACTGACTTGAGATGCGCTTTTAAACTGTTCCAATAGTGAAAATCTGCTGAAAGATTTGAACTCGCGTGAAGGTATTTTTATCCAGCCCTGTGATCCGTGCTATAATTATGCCTAAATGACTCGATACCCTCATCAACACTCATATTTTACCATTTCTGTTGTATTTTACTTAAGATGCCCTTTTAAAACTGTTCCAACAGTGAAAAATCTGTTGAAGTATTTGAACTCAAGGGAGAGTATTTTCATCTAGCCTAGTGACCCGTGTAACACAGTTGTAATTAATGGCTCGATATCCTCATTAAAGCTTATTCACATTTTCTGTTGTATCTAACTTAATATTCACTTTTTAAACTGTTCCAATAGTGGAAAAATCAGTTGAAACATTGAACTCACGTCAGAAACTGTTCTTCAGTATAGTTTAGTAATTCGTGTTGTAATTCGTATCGGCAGCCGTTACTAAAGCTTATACAGTCACGCAGTTGCCACGCCTCGGGCATTTTTACTCATATTTTGCGGGAGATGCGCATTTTAAACTGTTCAAACAGTGAAAAGATCAGTTGAAACGATTGAACTCACTTCAGAAACTGTTCTTCAGTATAGTTTAGTTCTTGTTGTAGTTCGTATCGGCGGCCCTACTAAAGCTTATACAGTCACGCAGTTGCCACGCCTCGGGCATTTTTACACATATTTTGCGGGAGATGCGCATTTTAAACTGTTCCAACAGTGAAAAGATCTGTTAAAGCATTGAACTCACGTCAGAAACTGTTTTTCGGTATAGTTTAGTTGAGTACTTCGTGTTGTAATTTATATTAATAGTCCTACTAAAGATTACAGTCACGCATCGAGGGCGTCAGTTGCCAAGCCTCGGGCATTTTACACATATTCCGCGGTAATTCGATTCATTAAAATTCACATGTACACACTATTTTCATCCACACCACAGACTAAGCGTCAAAAATGGTTAAACTTTGTGAAGCAACTGTTGAAATCTTTGAATTCTGTATTTGTATGAATTGATGATAAAGTATGGAGGAACAGTCGTCCATTATAACTATATTTTTGCTTGCCTCGGTGAGGTGACAGCCCGGAGGCAGTTTCATGCATTCTTTAGGTTTTATCGTCTGTCACAAAAGATGTCGGCCATTCCAGCTGACCTCCGTAGTCGCTGGCTCAGTGTCTGTCAGAAAGGTTGCCCTTTTCGACATGCATTACAACATTTAATCGCCTGTTAGCGTCGTTTTGACCCAGTTAAAACTTTCATCCCAACATGGACTCAGGAAGGTGACAGCTTTCAGACAGGTTCATACATTCATGATTTCCTATTCTTATGAAAAAAAGATACGAGTCATTTCAGTTAAACCTAATGTTTGTGTCTTTTCAAAAGGTCTGAAGAGGAGATTGAATATTTAACACTTCTGTATGTGTAAAATTAGTGCCTAACCCTTGATTGTAGTTTTGTGGTCCCAGTATTGCAATCCTGTTTGGCCTTGACCTTCGTTTGTGTCCTTACTTGCCCCCCTCCCCAACATGGCCGACTTCATGAACCCGTTCCATCATTTGACAAGGCTGCTAAAGGCTGGAACAGAAGGCATTATAATTACTAACGTGTAAGCATTAAAGACAGGCATTTTGTGGTCCCAGCATTGCAATCCTGTTTGACCCTGACCTTCGTCTGTGTTCTCAGCGCGCCCCCCTCCCCAACATGGCCGACTTTATGAACCCGCTGTTCGACAAGTTCGGAGCCGATCCGGAGTCGGCGCCATTTCTGCCCCGGAAGGACGACTCCGGCCAGGAAGACGGGGAAGGTAACAAAAACTGAGTTCTTGTATGACTTAATGGATTGCTACATAGGTCATACTCAACTAAAATCGCCACGCTCAAATGTAGCAAACTTGTACGTAGCAAAATGAATATGGCAACACGTGCGTCACAACAATTTCAGTTTGTTCATCAAAGAAAGACCGGCCACCAGGTCACTTACCAGCTTACTTGCCTACTTTAGAAATCTACTGAAAATCGCCACGCTCAAAGGTAACAAAATTGTATGTATAGCAAAACTGATACTTGCGTCACGACAGTTCCAACTTCAAATCATGTTGATCAAAGTAAGAAGACCCGACACTAGGCCACTCGTATTGGCTTACTCGGAGTTGGATAGCTATATAGGTTATACTCCACTAAAAGTCGGCACGCTAGAATGTAGCAAACTTGTATGTAGCAGTAAAGATAGTTACGGTAACAATTTTGTCAATACAGTTCCAGCTTCAGATATTCAGTTTGATAAATTAGAACTTTAGAACTCTACTGAAACTTTCCACACTCAAATCAAGGAAATTATATGTTAAAGCTCCTTGCTCAAATGTAGCAAAACTGTATGTATCAAAATTAATATGGCTACATTTGTGTCGCATTGTGACAGTTCCCGCCTCGTGCGCGACGCCGGCTGCAGAACTGGAGAGAGACCCTCTGGGTCACGTGGTCTCGGCTCACACCATCGCGGACATTATTCTGGACAAGAACACGGAGATGCCGCTGACGGTGGGGGTGTTCGGCGGGACCGGGGCGGGGAAGACATCCTTCCACACTGCCGTCAAAAGTACGCACTGTGTGTGTGTGTGTGTGCGTGTGTGTGTGTGTAACTCTATGTGTGTCTATGTGTGTGTGTGTGTGTGTGTGTGTGTGTGTGTGTGTGTGTGTGTGTGTGTGTGTGTGTGTGTGTGTGTGTGTTTGTCAGTATTTAAATGCAGCTTTTAGGCAAGAAAAGAAACAATAGTGTACAACGGTGCTACTGCTCTTACTTGCAGAGGAAGTTCTGAAAAGGACGTCGCTTGTTCAGCACTACAAAAAGAAGATAGACGAACAAGGAGTCTTAAAGAAGAAGAAGAAACCCAAGAATCTTCTGGGGCGAATCGACTTCTACGTTATCCTGCTGTGCTACACGGGCTTGGTATGTTTTTATTTTGTTTATTTTTATTTATTTATTTATTTATTTATTTATTTATTTATTTATTTCACCAGGGGATACACATATTGCCTGAGGGCGCTTTTCAATGTGCCCTGGTGGGAGGAAAACCCTAAACAAAAGCAATTTACATCGAAATCAACTCAGTCCAAATTACATGCAACAAGAGTAACAAATAAAGTTGTATACTGCATTGCAGCCACCCAGCAGAGAATCTGCTTGGAGAGTGTTTATCACATGTTTTCGGCCTCAAGTTCCAGCCGGTCTTGTTTGTTTGTTTGTTTGTTTGTGCTTATTTATTGAATATTCACCTCTCACAGGTGGCCTGCACGGTTGCAAGTGGACTGAAGTACCCTCCGGCCTTCTACTACCTTCTGGGTGGCAGCCTGGCCACCTTGTGCCCGATCGCAGTGTACTGCCGGGAGTACCTGGGCCACCATGTCCTACGTTGTGCCTTGCGCCAATGTGCCAACATCTGCACATTTATTAACAAGAGCCGTAATTTCTTTTTCTGTCCCCAGGTCGCGGGCACCATCGCAAGCGGTTTGAAGTACCCTCCGGCGTTCTACTACCTTTTGGGCGGCTCCCTGGCTACCTTGTGCCCGATCGCAGTGTATTACCGGGAGTATGTCGGCCGTCTGGCCCGGCTGGTTGCAGCCCGTCTGCCGGCCCTCTTCGCCAAGTCCAGCCCGATGTACCACATCCTCCGCACCTACCTGGACATCAAAGTTAAACCGCTGGACACAAGGCTCGTACTGGAGCAGCCGGAGAGACGAACAGATGTAAGTTTCCTTCATACACTATTGATTTGAGGAGTTGTAGACAGTAATCTCATTTTAGTGTTTAAGTAGTACCTGGACATTCGGGTCAAACCGCTGGACACAGGGCTGGTACTGGAGCATCCAGAAAGACGGACGGACGTAAGAGTTTTATTTTTATCTTCTCTCCTTTCTCACCACAAACAGTTACTCAAGCAACTGGATATGATTTTGGAAACGGTCAGACGTTTCAGGTAGCATCCACTACCTTTCGTCAGTGACACTGGAGAGTTGTCAGAAAGGCAGGTTTATAAGTATGAACTATACTCATAAATACGATAGAACGTGATGATTAACTCTGAAGAGCATGCATATGTGATAACTACATTTAGCCAAAAGAAAAGTATCTTTCTTCTGTTTTTCACCTGCGTCTTTTTGCTTGATGATTCCAGGTGATCTGGGTGGACTTCAACGCCTGGGTGTTTTCCGGCTGCAATGTATTGTGGGCCGGCATCGTCACCCGGCTTTGTGACGAAGTCGAGGCTCACGTTGGCGCCAAAAACGTTCGTTTTTTCCGCCACATACAGGTGGGTCATCGGCCTACAGGGCGTTCACCTTTGTGCATACTTCATGACGTCACTGCTCATGCTTATCTGTTTGTCATTTCTCATCCTCGTAATGTTACCACTTTCATGAAGCGTCTTGGGCTCATAATTTTAGTTGGAGCACATCAAAATAACAGTAGAAAAAGGTGCCTCTTCTTCGGTTCCAAGCAAACCAGGTCAATGACCTGGACCAGACGTCTGTCACCATGGTAACTGGTGCTATAGCAGACACCCTGTGGTGTTGGGTTACAGTATGTAGCAAGTGGCAGAACAGTTGCAAGGGCTGGTCACCAAATTTATAATGCATTTTAGTAAGAATACACAGAGCTGTAGTTTGTTGGGCTAGACCGTGTGAAGATAAATGTTATCTAGTTGCTTTGCAAACGTTTCCTTCGTAGTTTTATAGTTTCTGTTGTTTCTTTTTTCAGGCGAAAGCAGAAGCGGCGGCCGCACAGCCAACCAAGCGGACCGTACTGCCAAAATGGTTCCGTCTGCTGGCGAATCTTGTGATCGCTGCCGGGCTGGTGGCTCTGGCTGCAGTGGGCATCGACATAGACGCCGTGCGTAAACATCTTAATTTGTTATTTTTTCTTATTCCAACATTTCATGACTAGGCATGGTGACGGCACAATCAAGTTATATCAACTTTAGTTATTGTATGCCGCCACCAACGCAGAGGGTGAATACAGGACAGGACAATACTAATTTTCACTCAAGTTAAGTGAGGAAAGTCGTATAAAGTGCCTTTCCCAAGGGCACAAAATCGGTGGCATGACAGAACTCGATTCCGGGACCTCTTGATTCCGAGTCGAGCTACGCCACATGACCCCACTAAACATCTTTTAGGTACAGTGGCCCACAGGTACAATGTATGGTAACACTTATGTTGTACCTGTGGGCCACGGTATTATAGGGTTGGGGGCTAACTGTTGGTGGTTCTGGCTGCTGTGGGCATCGACATAGATGCTGTGCGTACACTTCTTTTAGTACAGTGGCACACATGTACAATGTCTGGTAACACTTATGTTGTACCTGTGGGCCACAGTATTATAGGGTTTGGGTCTAACTTCTAAGGCGAATCGCTGCCGGGCTCATGTTTCTGGCATCGACATAGATGCCGTGCGTAAACTTAACAGGGTTTCTTGTTCTATCATGAAAGTTCATCTGTGTTGGTAGTTACATGTTTAGAGTTCAAACTTTCGATCCAACACAAAGAGTTCTCTCACCTAGAGCTTTCGACCAGTCACTCTGGTCTTCCTCAGTAGACTGACCCAGTGAGGCTTGTCTGAACTACATATCTTAAGCACTTGAACCCTCTTGAACCAAGCCAGCCTCACTACTTATACCAGTTTCTCTCATCAGCTATAATGGTCAATGATACATACAAGCCAGGAATCCATATGGTCTAACTAATTACACAGTCACTTGATTTAAGTTAAACTTTTGATCAAACACAAGAAGGGGACTCACCACGAATTTTTGGTCAATCTAGTCAACCTTCATCAGATGTGTGCACTCACTGACTCTAGATCTCCGGAGGTCATAAACATGATGAGCTTTCATTTAAATAATTCCAGACTTGATTCTTGGCTGTTCCAGGTATCGAGGGGCGAGTTCCCCCCCGGGGTGGTGCCGCTTCTCCCTTTGCTGGTGGGTGTGCTCGCTAAAGGGAAGAGCGCTGTGACGTTCGGCAGGAGCATGGTGAAGTCCCAGTCAGACAACATCACGTCTCTCATGGCGCGCCCGGGATTCGCAGAGCAGCTAGGTTTCATGTCAGAGGTATGGATCGGACACAGAACTCCGTGTGAGAGTGTGTGTGAGTGTGTGTGTGTGTGTGTGTGTGTGTGTTTTTGTGTGTGTGTATGTGTGTGAGTGTGCGTATGTGTGTTTGTGTGTGTGTGAGTGTGTGTGTGTATGTGTGTGTGTATGTGTGTGTGTGTGTGTGTGTGCGCGCATGCGCGTGCACAGGCGTGCTAACTGATTTTACCGAATTAACGATTTTACAGTACCACTGTAAAAGTGCCACTGTAAAATCGATAGATACTGGATCGTAATGCCGGTGGATAATCGATTGATTGATACATTGATTGATTGTCAGGTAAAGAAGGAGGTTCAGACCGTGAAGTCGTTACTAGCGTACCTGGAGAGAACCACGAACGTGCGGTACCGGATCGTGGTGGTCGTGGAAATTAATTGATCGATTGATTGATTGATTGGTTGATTGATCGATAAATTGATTGATTGATTGATTGATTGGCAGGTCAAAAAGGAGGTCCAGACCGTAAAATCTCTGCTAGCGTACCTGGAGAGAACGACGAACGTGCGGTACCGGATCGTGGTAGTCGTTGACGACCTGTCTGACTGCCAGGAGGACCGCGTGGTGGGCGTGCTCCAGGCGCTGAAGGTCCTCCTGTCAGACGAGGATGCCAACATCATCTCCATCCTCTGTGTCAATCCTGCACAGGTGAGTTTGGAATATATCTTAAAGACATCCATAAGAAATGAGAGACACTAGGACAGTTTGCTGTCCTGTCCTTAAGTGGTAAAATGCCTGGAACCAACCAGAAGATGCAGACACGGTGTCCTCCATCAATTAACATCATCTCCATCCTCTGTGTCAATCCTGCACAGGTGAGTTGAAGACATCCTTAAGAAACGAGTGACACTCAAAACACAGTTAAATGTTGTTCTGTTGTGTAGTTATACACACACTTTACCAACAGTCTGCAAACATTCAGAGCAGTTAGACGGCTTCTTACACTGACCTTAAGTAGTGAAATGTCTTAAAAGCTTAATCAAGCAGAAAGAAGGCATACTAGTATACGTGAATGCTTTAGAAGCATACCCCCTTCCCAGGTGGCGAAATGTCTTAAAGCGAGCCTTAAGCAACTACAAGACGCCAATGTCTTACCCTCCTTAGGTGGTGAAGTGTCTTGAGGGGACCCTGAAGCAGCTGGAAGACGCAGACACGAGTGGCTACAAGTATCTTAACGAGATCGTCAACTTCGCCGTGTGTCTGCCTGAACCTGGAGTTGACGCCATGAAGCAGGTTCTGGCCAAGGCGACACCACAAGATGTCGGAGAGCAGCTGGCGTCTAAGATGGCGGAAAAGCTCAAGAAAGCTGCAGAAGCTGCTGCAGTACCTGAGAAGGCGCCTGCTGCTGAAACACCTGCGGGTAATCATAATGTTTAATGATTTAGTAACTTTCACTAAAAGTACAAATAACACCCAAGCTAGTCTCAGGCAACAATACATCGGTGAAGCTTCTAGACATTCAGGTACTACTATAAGATATGCTAAAAAACAGTTACTCCAGCGACAGTATATGATTTTTGAAACAGTCAGACGTTTCTGAGAGCATCCACTACCTTTCATTGGACACACTTATAGACCTGATTTTCTGACACTTTTTAGTCTCCAGTGTCACTAACAAAAGGTAGTGGATACTAGCTGAAATGTCTGACCGTTTCTAAAATCATATCCAGTTGCTTGAGTACTAGTAACTGTTATTGCAGCAGCAGAAGAAGAAACGGACGTCTTGCCGCTCCTGCTGGAAGCTCTTGAGAACGGTGACGTCATGCCTTACGTGAAGGGCAACCCGCGCTACATCCGGGATCTGTACTTTGTCCTGCGCATGACGGCTGGCGTCGTCGAGTACAGACTCAAGCTCGGCGAGTTCAACATCAAGGTGGTGTTGGATTACAACATTATGTAGCAAGTGGCAGAACAGACTTGGGGGTGGGGATGGACTCTCCTTTTGTTTTGATGCGTTCTGTTCTCTCAAGGAGGTTAAATCTCTTGTTACGGTATTTAACCTCCTTGGTTCTCTGGAGTTCGACATCAAGGTACAGCCTCTACCAGACTTCGGGAGGCGACTGGAAAGAGTAGAAATAATTGGCCAAATAGAGAGATAGCATGCCGGGGGATTTGTTCCGCTAAAGAGTACCTGGGTGCGGTAAACTGTACCCTCTAACCATGGAGGTAGAAAAAAGAGCTCTTCTACCTCCATGCTCTAACACGCTTTGCTTGTAGCGTGGGTTCTGCTGGTACAAATGTACAACAGTGGCCATACAGAGTTAGGGTAACAGGGTCGGACAAATTGTATTTTATTCAGGACTGGGACAAGCTTGTAGCCTGGGTAGTGCTGGTACAACAGTGGCCGTACAGAGTAAGCTGGATCGTGCTTCATGCCGAAGACCTCGAACTGAAGGCAGCCATGAAAAAACGGGAGAAGCTTTCCAGCTGCGTCGAACAGGATCTGTAAGTATTGTTATGATCTCGAACCTTGCCTAGTTCTATAATGTCTGAATGGGTTAGGGTTAGGATCAGGGAAGGTTCTTGATAGTCTCTATCGTACCCAGAACTGTGCCTGTCTAGTTCTATGCCTGAATGGCTTAGGGTTAGGATCAGGCACGGTTTTGGATAGTCTCTGTGTATCCAAGAACATAGATTTGCCCCAGGCACGGTTCTGGATATATCCAGAGCCGTGTCTGACTCTGAGCAAGTTTCTGGATAAAACACAGATGCAACAGTAAAGCTACAAGATACTTTTCTTATCATCTTTAAGAAATGATAATGTAGAGAATGTAAGAAAATGACATTAAATGCCCGTCATGTTGGCTTAAGAGCTTGTGGGAAATCTAGACTGTCACAAGAATTTCTTTGTTCATCAACATCAAGAGTTCTTTATTCAAAAACAGTGACGACTACATGGACAAGAAACTCCTCGCCATCTTCAAGTCTGCGCAGGAGAAGCAGAAGGAGCTGGAGAAGAAGGGAGGAGAGGCCTGGAAGCGGCTGAACTCCTTAGACGGAGACATCGAGCTTCTTGAGATGTTTCTCCAGGAGTTTGACTTTACTGTGCAGGTAAGAATGACCTGGACCTGTCACCATGGTAACTGGAGCTGTAGCAGACACACTGGTGTTGGGGTCTATTATGTAGCAAGTGGTGGGATAGAGTTGGGGGGCTGATCACCATATACAATGTATATTAATGTAACTGGTGTTGTAGCAGACACCCTGTGGTGTTGGGTTACATTATAATTATGTAGCAAGTGGTGGGACAGAGTTGGGAGGGTTGTCACCATGGTAACTGGAACTGTAGCAGACACCCTTTAGTGTTGGGTTACGATATGTAGCAAGCGGTGGGGGGATAGTCACCACTCACCAGGGTAACTGGTGCTGTAGCATGCAGACACCCTGTGGGGTTTGGGTTACATTATGTAGCAAGTGGCGGGACAGAGTTTAAGGGGCTGGTCACCACATATTATAAATGTGCTTGAATGAATAAATCAAATTAGGCTAGACCATGAAGGTAAACATTGTGGATTTGCTTTTGGAAATGTTAACTTTCTAGTCAATATATTCTGTATTTTCCCCTCTTTTCAGGACATGTTCCACCTCCTCCCCGTGACAACAAACTTGGACTCTTCCATCAAGATGGCGATCAACTCAGCCAGCGGACAGACGTGACGTCAGGAGACAAAACAAATTGAACAAAAAACATGAGCACTTTTTGTGTATATTATTTGGGTAAATAATCCTGGAGGGACATGGCTACAGCCGCTATGCAACTACTCTGATGCCTGCGGCTTGACAACAATTTGGGTAAAACTTGGAAATGTGACCTTAGTATTACATGGGTGTGGCAAGTACTATAGTAATTTAGCCTGCACTGCATAAGGCAATCACAAGGTGGCGCTATTACTGGGTTCTCTTTCCACTTGGTCTTCGGCTGTTTTCTGATTAGCCTCCGTAGCAGGCTTATAGAACTGGGGGTTTGGTGGTCTTCGGCTGTTTTCTGATTAGCCTCCGTAGCAGGCTTATAGAACTGGGGGTTTGGTGGTCTTCGGCTGTTTTCTGATTAGCCCAGTTCTAAAAACGGGGGTAATTCAACCAGGCCGGCTATGTTGTCTATATGCAATCAGAAAATAGCACATAAAAGCTCCCAAAGACCCTGAAGACCGCCAAAACCCCCAGTTTTTGGCATGCTATGGAGGCTAGGAGAAGGTGTGGGTTGGTATAGTACAATTTATATACATTGTTAGACACCATTGTAGTAAGTAAGCTATTGATATTAAGAACTCTTAGACTGGACAATTGTAACAAGGAAGGTGTTATTTTATTAGTCTCTACCAGACTAACTACGCTGGCTATATATAGGAGAATATTTGCCAGGGGAGTTTGGCCGCATTGTAGGTTTGACTGGCTGTTTTGGAGGGAAAGAAACTACCTCCCCACGGCCGGACTCCCTTGCCCAATTTTACTTTCTTTTTTGCCAAATTCTAGGATCCGTATTCCCGTAGAAAGGCCTGGTGGAGGCTATTATTTTATAAGCATGTATTGCCAAAGATTGTGAAGGTATAGCAGTAAAAAGACCTAATTATGTGGAAAACTAGAACTACCAATTATCAAAATCTGCCATTTGAAGCAATTTTAAAACATCACCCAATAATGTGCCACACACAGTTATCATGGATAACTCAGGGAGGCAATAATAAACTACTTCTCATGACTGATGTGTGAGTTTCCTTCTTTCTCAACATTTAGTTATTTATTAAGGGTGAAAACTGACGTCACATGACTGTGTGTTCCAAGCAAACAATATTCAGAAAAATCCGTTAATGATTTCATCAGGTTAGTAAGACACTGAGTAAAGAGACTCTTTTTACACTACCAAGTCTTTTATTTATTCAGCCGACGTTTCGGTGACCGTCTGTCACCTTCCTCGGGGCAATTCTGACTGGTTCACATTGAGGAAGGTGACAGACGGTCACCGTAACGTCGGCTGAATAAAAGACTTGGTTGTGTAAAAAGAGTCTCTTTACTCAATCAGATAAAGCATACACGCACATTTCCATCCTACCTGAGGGGCACTTGTACAGAAAGTCATCATCCTGAAAAACTTAAGGTTTTAGGCTTTAATATCTGTTTTTTTCCAGTTTCTTTGTCACGAGAACATTATAAAAATCACGTAATAGTAAATCACGTCTCTTCCTTTTCACCCTGCCTGAGGGACACTTCTACAGAAAGTCGTGACATCGTTAAAAAATCAATCACCCAATTTGAAGGTTTTACGTTTTTATTTCTGTCTTGTTTTCCAGTTTCTTGGTCACAAGAACAAATAATTAAGTAGTTAATCACATTTCTTCCTTTTCTGGACACTTCTACAGAAAGTCGTGACATCATGAAAAAATTAATCACCCAATTTGAAGGTTTTACGTTTTTATTTCTGTCTTGTTTTCTGGTTTTTGGTCACGAGAACAAATAATTAAACAGTAAATCACGTCTTTCCTCATTTTACCCTGTCTGAAGAACACTTCTACAGAAAAAGTCGTGACATCGAAAAACTTTATCATCCAATTTCAAAGTTTTATGTTTTTATTTCTATCTTGTTTCCCGGTTTTTTGGTCACGAAACAAATAATAAAACAGTAAATCACGTCTTTCCTCATTTTAAACTGCCTGAAGAGCACTTCTACGAAAATTGTCGTCATTATGAAAGTTAGTCATCCAATTTTCAGGTTCCACGTTTCAATTTTTCTTAATTATTTTCCGGTTTGTGCATCACGACAGCAAGTAAACTGTAGTAAATCTTATATTTTTTTAATTTGACCCTGTCTGGAGAGCACTTTTACATAACGTCGTCATTTTAATGGTTCACGTTTCAATTTTTCTTAATTATTTTCCGGTTTGCGCATCACGATAACAAATAGTAAAGCAGTAAATTTTATATTTTCTCATTTCTCCCGGCTGAATTGTTTGCCAGCCTCTCTCGCAGGGGAGCAGGAATGACGCGCGACCTTTTGTGGCCCCTCCTGAAGTTTTATAACCCAGTTTTGTATCTGGACGACGCTGGGACAAGCTGGAATGTGTGTGAGTTAATATCAGGAAGGGTGACGTCGGTGGGCCAAAGCAAATCTATTCATTGTTTATAGATGTATATTGTAAGAATTAGGAGAGCAGAAATAGAATGACAGTCCCAGGCCGGGGTTCGAACCCACGCCAAACCCAGGCACCAGTCCACATGCTGACACTCTAACCACTCGGCTAAAAGGTCTAGACCCATCGGCCGGGTCAGTTGGTAGCGCCTATAAACCCCCCACTGTTACTATATAATGATGGCGGTTTAATTCTAAACCAACATGGAACTAGAAGTAGAATTCCGTCTAAACTAAAGACGAGATTGCTCAAAGCATCATGACATATTAATATTCTGGAAGTGACATATCGGATCAGAGGTGGATAAAAGATGGTATGAACTCCTGTTCAGCGGTTAACAGATCAATTTTTTCCATTGTTCAGAGAGTTTGGGAAGAAGCAGGCACACGGTTTTCAAATGTGATAAAACTTTCAGTATTTCCCAGAGCAAATTGCCTATATTAAAGCTAAAAATACCAAAAATAAGCCCGATATAAAAGCTAAAAATAAAAAAAAATAAGCCTGTATAAAAGCCAAAAATAAGCCCAATATAAAAGCCAAAAACACACCAAAATTAAGCCAAACCCCAAACCTCTGCTTGGAGAGTAAACAGATCCTGCCCCCC